ATATATAACATGATTGACAGATATTATTACGTAGGCATACCGGAAGTGGTACACCGGAAGTATACATACTTTAACAGACAATATCGGGTTAGGCAATGTATAGCGCTGGTTAGAATCTTAGTACGCGTCCCTCAAAAATTTCTTTTCAGTTTAAGTTTAAAATTCATTCTGGTATCGATTGCGCAGACCATAAAAGGTACGACCACATTTAACAAGAGAAAAGCTCAAGTCATTAACAAACTTTAGAAGATCAATGTCGATAGATAGTTGAGGTTAATAAAATCTATTTCTAACAGCAGAACTGATTCAATGACCAAAGAATTTCGTGCCTGACCTTGTGCTTTTGGTAGACATTTGAAAGAGCGGCTTTTCACGATTATGGCAACTCCAAAATAACCCTCTCTCGCGTCGTTTGACCCTGTTAAACGATAAACCCCCAAAAAGCAGGTCACGTGATTTTTTCTGCCATTTGCAGTTTGCCGTGAGCGTCATGCTTAAAAGCTCTCTATTACAGGACACAAAACGGGAAGTTTAGAAGGTTGTCGTTTACGGGAGATGGTCGTTTACGAGAGTGGTCGTTTACAGAGAGTTAACTGTAATTTTTCAAAATTTGAGAAAGCCGCGAGTTTTTAGTAATTATGATATTTTGTTATTTTTTTGTTCAACTAGTATGGAAATTATGTCCTCATGGGCTATCAGCTCGTAGTCCTTTCACACTCGAGTTCTAATTGATTTTGTATTCATACCTACCATATAATTTTAAATTGTGTAAGTAATTGTTTTCCTTTTTAACTCGGAGATTGCGTTAGCAATCGTAGAGTTATTGGGAGGGGACAAGCTGTCACTCGCTCGATCGCTCGCTCGCTCGCTCGATCACTTTCCTGTAAACTTAAGCCTGCGATGTTTTTGTCAGCAGTTATTCATTTAATTATATTAATTTGACTTGTTAATTTTGAATTATTCATCTCTACGGTCTACCTGCTTCTTTTTTTTTCCAAAGAGAAATAAATTTATGTACTCGATGTGACAAGAATTGATCTCTAGATCAATTCCCCATACATCGCCTTATGTTCCAGCGCCTTAACCGATTGTGCCACGGTGACACTTTGATTAAACTTGGCGTGTTTTAGTACTTTTATAGGGAGCACCGCTGTTCAAGTCCAGCTGGAGACAGGACATTTTTTTCTTTTTTACTTTTTGATGTTTTGGAGATTCTCTTTTCTTTTCTCCTTTTTCTAATAATAACAAACATGTTTCTGCATAAAGTTTTGTTTTTAAGAAATTCTTTTAATTTTTTGCGATCGGTAAATAAAATAAGGTTCACCATGATGGGTTTCCTGTKTTATATGCTGTGGATTCAATCGATATTTGCCGAAAACAACTGACCCATCGCACTACGTTAAAAACCTGGATTCAAGAGGAGAAAAAATTGTAAAAATTATATTGTTTGRCGTAGAATTGTACCGATTGCAATAAGTTTTGACTGGGTTTTCGCTTCGAGTACCTGTCAACATGGCGTCTCTGCTAAAAGTAGCCTTCACGGCCTTATAAATAAACTTCAAGCAAATGGACGGTTTCTATTCCGCTTTAGACTTCAAGGTAAGATAATAATGTACAAAGCTTAGCAATGACATACTTAAATCTTAAGTTTATCATATGAATTACAAATCAAACTTTTTAGGCTGTGTCAAC